AGCTTTGCTACTTGTGCTACCCTGTTTAGCCCCCTGGATACTGTCTCGCTGACACTACATTTTCTGTGGATCACCAGTTTGTGACTCACCGAGACCATGCATACTGGGCTACGCATCTGACTCCGTCCCCCGGTTCGGCTACCTTCCTCCACAGGGATGCATGCTGCAGTACCTCCGCCCCTGTTCCTGCAGTGCCCCGGTAGGCCTCTTATTCAATGGCGAAAGGGGTGTCCGGCTCTTCGAGTTTACATCGATGCCGCTGCCTGGGACGCCATGCCGCAGCTCAAAAAGGCATTGCTACTGAATACACTGGGCGTTGAAGGCTTAAACTTCTACCCTTGTGCGGTGGAGGACGAAACGACTTCGGCAGTGGACCATGCAATCATGGCGGACACCGTGCAAGACGTGTATGCTGCAACGCTCCAGCAGTTGGACACGATTGTTGACGAGCAAGTCGATCGGGTGTGCCTGCGTGTCTCATTCGCTACGGCAACAATCGGTCGAGACTGCAGTGCAATATATTCTAAAAGTTAAATGGCTTGCTCGACTCCGCAATTTTGTAGCAATTGTTGCAGGAACTCCATTGTTGCAATTGTAGCAGGAACTCGACTCTGCAATTGTAGCAGGAATTGCGTTCCTGAATCTGTGGAGAAAAATTCTGAAGATGAGAGTGGAATTCTCCATTCAGAATGCTCTAGATTTTGCCATAGAAGAGGAGTGCGTCAACTGTGCATTACAACAGCTGGATGCCCTTTCAAGCGACGCTGTTTGGTCGCGTTAGACATGACTTGGCGACCTTCCTTCCATCCTTCAGAGCATTCCTCATTCTCCAGCTGCTTCGCAAGTCAGCCTCGTCTGCTCACTGACTGTGACTACCGGTTTCCTGGCGTCGCCGGCAACTCGCATGAAAGCGTGCTTCCGCTGCGGTTCGTCGCAGCACTGGGCCGACGATGCCGCTTGCCCTGCAGGAACCCGCACCTGTGTGCATTGCAAAAGGAGAGGACACTATGGAAGCATCTGCCGATCTATCTACAAGGGATGTATCTACTGATAAATCGGGCCATACTTCGTCTTTCCGTATTATGATTCCGGCCCAGACTGAGAGCGTGTTCACTTGTGCTGCACCTGTTGACGTTCCAGCTGGCTGTGCTCCTCCTGAAGTGCCTGCTCCTGTCGTGTATCCTGCGGTTGGGCATACCCGGATTATACCTGCTTCGACTGGGAGTACTTCCACTGCAAGGATGGTTATTTGTGTTGGGTCTGCTACGGCTGACCACGCTTTACCTGCTTGCATCTCAGCTGTCTATACTTCGCTTGTGCCTGCTACTCCCGTTCTGCCTGTTGCTGCTTCCACTCCGGCAGTATTTCTTCCTACTGGTGGTGATCTCCGAGATACTGTTTCTGTCCACTCGAGGTGCATCTGCTGAGCGTAACAGCTAGAATTCCTGAGCCAGTTCCTGTTCTGCGGGCTGCCGAGCTGCTTCCTCTAATCGCGTCTACGCCGACCATGCCCGTTCCTGCTCTCTGCACGGCGCCTGCATCGATGGCGCCAAGCCATGCTCCAGCGGAGCTTTATCGCCTGCTTGTTCTAGCCCCTACTATGCCGCAAGTACCCTGGAAGGAAAGTTCATGAGCCTACTCTTTCGCACCACGGGACGGCTGTGGGCATCGACAGTGCCTGTCGTGGAAATGGCATCACTACTGGCGTCGACGCCGTAGGCTCAAGCGACACAGTGACTATGCGACATCCTCTCTCGTGGGAGGGGATGATAGGGTGGCGTGCGGCGTGTGCTTTGCCTTTGTGTTTGCTGTACATTTCTTTATGCTGGCATGCTGTGCAATTCTTTATTTTTCTGTGTATGCACATTTTCATTTTGCCTTCGTTACATATTAGGACCCTGCATGTGGTTCATATTAAGGGGGGGGGGGGGGGGTGATGTGGTGCCTGGGTTTCGGTTACGGTTTCGGAACCGGTTCTTTGGCCTCACAGAGAGCATTGTACAATTGTATATATACCGCGCTGTGCATAGTAAAAAAAGTTTTCTGCCCTGGTCTCAAGTGTGCCACTTTCTTCTCCTTCCCGGCCTGCGCTTTAGGCGCCGGGCCTCACGTTCTCTGTGCGTCGCGTCCGACGCACACTACAAGAGCTATGACGTTCATCAAGTCAGTCAGCCATTTCCTTTATCAATTAGTAGTGTGCCATGGGGAGAGCAAGCAATTCTCGGCTATCCGTGTAACGAAATTGCAAATCCTGTGCCACGTGCAGTGCGATATTTAGTTGGCATGTTCACAAGAGGGTTGACTACTAATTGGCAGTGATCGCCGAGTGTGTTTAAAATTGTTGGGGTAATTTGAGGTCATGATAAGTCTTGATTTCAAGTGCTTGTGTATCGGAGCTCTTGCTTGGACCTGAAAGTGCAAGGGAATGCAGGAGTGTGTATACACGCAAGCTGCTTGGGATCCCCCACACTAAAGCTCTCCGATATGTTCATTTTGGGCCCCTTTAACGGAACTAGAACTGGCTAACCTCCCTGACCTTTCTCATTTATTCCTTTAACGGAACTGCAAAAGCTGCACCAATTGCAACAATATGATGCAATTTCTTATTTTTGTGCCAAGCTGAACTGAAATCATGAGATTTATTGAAATTGGGTCAGGCTGTGCCAAAGTACCCGACAGGCCTCAGAATTTTTGCAGTGTTGCTAATTTTTAGCAAGCAGAAAATCAGTTAAATAACCTGTAGTTTCCACTTCATCACTCTATCTAGTGCAGACTGTAACCCTAACCACATTATAACCATGAAAGAAAAAAAAAAAAGGACAGTGGTTTTAAAATTTCCTGGCATCGTTTTATCACATACAGAATGCTTTTTCATTCATTTTTGCTGTGCAGGAAAGTGAACTATCGTTTGGAAGGGGCTGCTTGTACGCTCTGTCACAGTACACAGCACATTTCCTCCCTTTAATAGGGATCTGTGCATGTGCCATATAATACGAGTGAGTACTAGTATGATTGCTGCCATGTAAAAGATCGCTAGCAATCATCAGAATGTATGATTATTCTGTAGCCATGAGGAACAATAAACAAAAACTTTTCTCAGTTTTCTTTTTTCACCACTCCCTTCTGCTTCTGTTTAACGAATCTCCCCAATTTTGAGGTCGCCAAATTCGCATATTCACAATTGCATGTGCAGCACCTGTCAAATGGTTTCACAGGCTCAGCAGATGTTGCACTGTGGAGTTCTTCAACAGACAATAACTGTGGTCACGTTTATTGTGCATGAGTTACCTGATGTTGAATAGTTTGCACAGAATTTTTCTTTTCTAGCGGTCAGTCTTATTTGCTTACTGCTCTAAATTTGGGATTTCGGGCTCCAAGATTTAGATGTTTATGCTCCTAAAGCAACATTTTCCTGCTCCGAAAATTGCTTCGAATTCTAATTCGGCTGTTGTATCCCTGTTTTGAGCACTGAGTGAAGTGATCATCCAAAAAAGACTACATAGAACTAAACATAATAAGCCATTTGTACAGCATGCAAAGTACTGGAAGGACATTTTGAAAGTATAAAAGTGTAATGCTCTGTCTTATATAGAGTAGAACTTCAAGTATACGTTCTCCGGTTTTATGACGACCTGCATTTTATGATGAATCAGTTGGGTCATGGCAAAGTCCCCATAGAAATAGTGTATTAGAAACCGTGGTTATACGATGCAGTTATACGACACAGTTTTACGCCGATCCCGCACCTTACGATGGCTTTCAGATGCTGCCTGAAAGAAACACAATCTTTACTTTTATCGAATGTTGACCAAATATTCATGAGCTCAAAATATGAAATGGCATTCCCCTAGGTGTACAACTGAAAGATTTATTCTACTGATACATCATGCGCTTTTACAAATGCCTCGATCGCGAGCATAAGTATTCGGGGTCGTTACCTTATCAAGCTCTATCCACACAGAGTAGCTTCAGCTGGCCGAAAAGCTGATATTTTAAAGTTTTCAGTCCTTGGAAACTTTTCCTGGTCGACGTACAGCTGATCACTTTCCTTTTTCACACTCACAGTCACAGGTTTGCGCACGTGTAAGGTTGTGACGCGGCTGTTTTCAGCATGCAAAATCACTTTCACTTGACGTCATTGTTTATAATATGAGCGGGACACCACTACTTGCACTTTACAAGGTAACAAATTACAACATACTTAGTCGCGCACGAGGCTTTCTACGCGAACTCGTGGTCTATTGCCATTGTGTGATAGCGATGACACTGTTGATGGGTGGGGGGGAAGCTATTGGCAACGCGGTTTGGTTGTTTTCACACGCAAGCAATTTTTGGGCTCGATTTATCGGTAGAAAGATGCACATTGAATTAAATTTTTTTTAAATGTTGATAATAAAGATTTGCTTGCATCTCCTTCAACTAGGTAATTTTACCATTAGATACCTCTGGCAAGAATAATTCAGTCTACCTTCCTTGCAGGGGCACAAGGTTGTGGCATGGACTTTGGTACCCGTTTTCAGCAATCTGTACCTGTTTCGGGGCTAGGCTGAGTGTCACTGCCTCTAATCTAAGTTCTTTTATTTTAAGACGGTTTTGCGGGGTCCCCTGGAAGTCGTATTATCAGGGCTCCACTGTATTGCCTTAAAGGGATTAATTTAACACAAGCATATAAGCCCTGCCAGTACTGGATTTGAATTGTGTTTTCCATGTTCATCATGGAGAGGCATGCTCGATTGCATAAATGGAACTCTTTGAAGCTTTTATGTTCTACGTTGACTGTGTGGGTTGTGACTGCCGAGCATATACGTATATGAGGGGGAAAGGGAGGAAGGCTGCAGCCAGTTAAGGATGAGATTCACAAATGCCCACTTTTACAGCAACCCACTCTATTCATTACTGTTTCATCTCTCTGCTAAAAACTTGATTCTGCTCATTTGCAAATACTTTGCTTTCTCTGTGCTCAATGTTTAATCTGGGGATGCTTTTTTTATTTTTTTCAGGACGCCATTCCTATGATTAGTAAGCTTAACTTTGATCCTAAGTTTGAGAGTGCTATGAAATACATATATGGAAAAACCCTCATATGCCGGAACCTGGAAGTAGCCACTCAAATAGCACGGACATCAAACTTGGATTGCATCACTTTGGACGGTATGTTTTCATTGCTTACATACCTTATGTTTGATTACTCGGACCTTGAAGCTCTGTACAAATATGGTGTAAAATTGCCCTGTGACATCCTCTGCAGCCAAGCAGCAAGGAAAAAGACAAACATAGTTACAGTTAAACCTGGATATAACGAAATTGATAAATTCCCTGAACAATTCGTCATAAAGAGGTTTTGGTTATATACAGGTTTGGTACGGAAATTCGAAAAATAAAGGCGCAAATTAAACAAAAGGAGTACTGAAGACAGAGATAACCCCAAACACTCATTTTACAGTAAAAAATTGCGTTATTATTGCAATAGCAAGTATATGGACACTCTTGGCGGGTTCTTGCTGTTGCCGCAATGTTCCGCAACAAGTCCAAATTGACAACATGCCCCTGCGCATGATAGCTTTCACAAGCGAGTAACAGCGTGCGAACGCTGCTGAAGCAGAGATCACATGAGTCGGCCCATCCGTATCACCTGGAAAGTGCGTAACATCTCCAGCATGTTAGAACTGCCATCGAATGCTCAAACAGAAAGAAAACCACCCCTCTTCAACAAGCATGAAACAGCGTGGGGAGGGGGGGGGGGTGGAATCGTTCGAATAGCAATAACGAACTTGGATTTTAAGGGCGGTCGCGATTGCTGGCGCTCTTGCTATCTCGGTGAGTATCAGTGCGGTTTCAACGCAAAAGGACTGTGTGAAAAGACCAAACGCAATTGTTCCTGTCAAAGTTGAAGGCACGCAATTCTCCCCACCGAAGGATAAGTGTACGCACACTAGCATCTAACCCCTTCTCCCCCCTCCGCATTCGCGGGGCAATTTACGCGTGGGAGATAAGCGCCCGTCACACATCGGGATGAGCCGAGCGCAGGCGACTTTTTTTCCCCCGAGTTTCCGTATTTGTAGGTACGTCTACATATAATATACATTCAATTCTCGTTGATGGGCGCATTTGTGGGTGCGCTTTTTCGATGCCTAATAAGACATGCTCGTAAACTTGCCGTGCTACTATAACCTCTGCTTCGCGTTTAGATAACTGACTGTGCAAAAACAATGCCAGGCCTGCGCGGTAGGCGCAGCATAGTCACAGCGAAAGCTAGAAGAGCGGCCTTTCAGAGCCCTTTGAAAACACTCACATAGTAACTACTGCAAGCACACTTGCTTGGTACCCACTAGGGCATTAATAATAAACTTTTGGGTAGTAGGCTGGCATTCGCTATGCTATTTTTCGTCATTATTCTGAGAAGCGTGGTATCCGTTAAACACTTGTTAGGAATTTTGTGCCAATTGTCCATGCAGTGGCTGACTACAATGAGAAATTATGGCTGAAGTGGGTATGCGCCACAGTTAATAGGGAAACAAGAACAAGCTTTTGTAATGGGTTGGAGCATTGGACAGCCCACTCGTTACGCTAATTGTATTATGTGACGACTGGTTCTTTTGCTGTTGTAAAACGATTTATAAGTCGTATTAACGCAATTGCTTCTCGACATCAAGCCTGCCTAAGGCAAGTTTGACAACAAGTCGCAAGCACCAGAGTAGCTCAGTGGTAGAATACTGGGCTGGTATCCAGCGGACCCGGGTTTGAGCCCAACCGTGCCATTGGTGCTAGGTCATGCCTGCCTAAGGCAAGTTTGACAACAAGTTACAAGCACCAGTGTAACTCAGTGGTAGAATATTAAGCTGGCACCCAGCGGACCCGGGTTCAAGCTCCACTGTGTCATTCGTGCAAGTTTTTTTTTTTTATTTCGTACAATACTGACACCGGCGGCAGTGAACAACCTGCAAGTGCGCGTGACCCGAGTTGTGATCTCATAACAGCATTCGCTGTAAAACCGCTTTGGAATCGTTGTGGTCATTGTCCCTTAAGCCAGCGTTTATATGAGTTATGCGGTGTCATGTCCAAAAGATACTATTTGTTAGTTTCACTTAGGCTATTAGCAATATATGCAATACCAACAGTCTGTTCACATTGAAAGTATAAGATAGAAGGGTATAACAGCCATCTTTAATGCCGAAGTAGTGCGAGTGTCGGTCATCACACCCCACCCAAAGTTCATAACAACGCCCCTGCCTTGCGTTCCCAGTTCCTTCCTGCTTTTTGAAGATGGGTGGGGCATTTCTCTCAGCTTTAGTAACAATCGATGGCAGGCCTCGCACACGGGGTGATGCTATCGCATCTGGACTCTGTGCTAAAGAGGTAGATCGGCTCTTTTGTTGCGATAGCAATTATATAGACAGTCTCTTCTGGTTTTTGCTGTCACCGCTGCGAGCGTCTTTCACCGTTTATGTATACGAATTTGTATATATGAAAACTCAAGAAAGGAAAACAAAATTGGTCCCGTGTCTGCATGTTTCGCTGCAAATGTCGTTGAAAGACGATTTTAGTAGCAGGAACGCAAGAAATATATACACATAACAACAGAAATCAGTGCAAAACGCATAACCATTGTAGCCAGATAAGCAATTTACAGTGACACCACTCCTGTGCCAAAGTGCGCCAAATCAGATTTACTGCACCATTCTGATAATATTGTTACGGAAGAAAAGAGACACCGTATCGACAAGGCTGTGGATGAAATATATTTCAAACCAGCAGCAGCGGCGTGACCGGTTGACCAGACACCGGGCGGAGACTACTCTTTGTCCTCTTCGTCAGGCACACACGTGCTTCGTCCCACAAAATGTCAAGATGCATGTAGCATTATCCCTGGCGGCAGAAGCGCCGTCTCGGTGCATCTAGATGTCAATGTCAGCGGGATAGTGGTAAGGCTTCAAGCGTGCCACATGTACAATATCGGTGGTCTGTGTGGCAGTGGAAGGCGATGAGGCAGCAGGGGCAATTTCGTATGTCACAGGAGTAACCTCACGAGAGACTCGATGTGGACCTGTGTATCGGGAAAGAAGTTTTTCCGACAAGCAGACTTGACGGGTCGGGGACCACAGCAGGACCCATAAACCGGGTAAGAAGTGCCATTACGGTGCCGTTGATCGTACAAATGCCGCTGGTTCTCTTGAGAGGCCAGAAAGCGAGTGCGGGCGATTTCGCGTGCGTGGCAGCCCGAGTGATAGCGTCAAGGGCATATTCGCTAGTCAGTGCCACGGTAGACGGAATGACTGTATCTAGGGGTTATGTAGGCTCTCGGCCGAAGAACACAAAAAATAAAGAGTAAGTGGCAGTGTCATATGGAGAAGAATTATATGCAAATGTCACATATGGCAATGCAAGGTCCCAGTCAGAGTGGTTGGAAGAAACATACTTCGCAAGCATGTCTGTAAGTGTTCGATTCAGACGCTCCGTGAGTCTATTTGTCTGCGAGTGGTACGATGTAAAGAGCTTGTGCCTCGTTTCACATGGCTGAAGGATATTGGCTATGACCTTCGATAGAAAGGTGCGGCCACGGTCTGTAAGCAGCTGGCGTGGAGCTCCATGTTGCAAAATCACATCGTGTAGGAGAAAGTCGGCGACATCTGGGGTGTAGCTTGTTGGAAATGCTCGTGTTACGGCGTGGCGCGTGGCATAGTCTATGGCCATAGCTATCCACCTGTTGCCAGAAGAAGACAAGGGAAAAGGGCCCAGGAGGTCTAAGCCAACAAGGAAGTAAGGCCAAATGTCAAGTGGTTGAATTGAATAGTTGCGCTCAGCAGCTGTGAAAAGGTGGCTAGCGTCGGCGATAACTTGGTCGTGTCCCCGCTGGCGTTGGGCTAGGACGGCTCCATTCTCGTGACAACTCCATCGGTTCAGACTTCTATCGGAGTGGACGGGTCAAAGTGGGCCAATATAGGTGGAGTCGTGAGGAGGGTGATGAGGTGAGAAAAAGCGGCAGCTTGAGTTGCACCCCACGTAAAAGTCTCGCCATTCTTCAGAAGGCCGGTGAGTGGTCGAAAGATTGTTGCAAAATCTTTCACGAACCTTCTAAAATAGGAACAAAGCCCCATAAAGCTCCGGACGTTCTTGACAGACTGGGGTACTGGCAAACTCGTGACGGCACGAATTTTCTCCGGGTCAGGCTGCACACCTGATGCGTCGACAAGGTGTCCCAACACCGTAATCTGCTGGCAGCCAAAGTGACATTTCGATGAGTTTAGTTGAAGACCAGCAGTGCCAAAGATGTCGAGAACCGCTGAAAAACGCTGAAGGTGTGTCTCAAATGTGGGCGAATATATGAGGACATCGTCCTGGTAGCACAGGCATGTTGACCCGTTGAACCCTTGTAATAGCGAGTCCATCATACGCCCAAACGTGGCTGGGGCGTTGCATAGCCCAAACGGCATCACCTTGAATTGGTATAGGCCGTCGGGAGTTACAAACACAGTCTTTTCTTGGTCTTTATCGTCCACCGCAATCTGCCAATAGCTAGAACGTAGGTCAAATAAAGAAAAGTATCTTGCCCCGTGCAGACAATAGAGGGCATCATCAATTTGGGGCAAAGGATAAACATCCTTTTTCGTGATTCGATTAAGATGGTGGTAATCAACGTATAAGCGCCACGTGTTGTCTTTCTTTTTAACGAGCACAACTGAAGATGCCCAAGGGCTCGAGGAGGGTTCAATAGTTCCTTTGGCTAGCATCTTGTTGACTTCTTCTTGAATTACCTTACGCTCTGTGGCAGACACCCGGTATGGTCTGCGGTGAATGGTATGAGAATCAGCAGTATTAATGCGGTGCTTCACGAGGGAAGTCTGACCGAGTGGACCGTTGTCGATGTCAAATATGTCGCGGTAGGAAGCCAGAAGGCGGCATAGAGTGTTGGATTGCTCAGGTTTGAGTTTCGGGTCGATGATCGGGCGCATTGCTGCATCGAGGGATGTGGCATCCTGCGGGCGACATGGATTATCGGAGCATGCGTCTGCCGCAAAAGCAGTGACGTGGGCGTCTATTAAAGGTTGAAGCGTGTCGACTGAAATTCTGTGTGGTAGTACTTGTTGCGTGAAATAGAAATTGATAATGGGCAGACATGTTTGGTTAGAGGCCATGGTTACGATGGAGTGTGG